TCTCTCTCTCTCTCTCTCTCTCTCTCTCTCACACACACACACACACACACACACACACACACACACACACACACACACCTGCTGATTCTACCACAAACAGTGAAAGGACCTCTCCACAGGATGATGGCTGTGCCCTCCCGTTGTGTCGTCGCACAGGTACAGTTCAGTTGGCATGTACACGACATAGCCTCTGCTCGGAACACAATGAAGGGATGGTCGCTGTTAGCCTTTTGCACGAAAATTGTGATCCCCAGTCCTGTGCTCACCCCCCCCACCCCCTGATTACTTGCCCAGCATGCCGTTGTGGTCTTGACCTGCCATGCTTGAATAACTGTGCACGTCAGCCTTCCATACTAATGACATGTCAGCAACATGCCATGTGTCGTCAATGCTTCCAGGAAGCTTTCATAGAAAGTATGTGTATTTACTGCATGGACTATCCCCGGTGCCATCACCCTCCACATCCTCTCCTAGCATGTCCCACATGCGGCATTGGTCATACACCTACGGCAACCGCTGACGGATCTCCCTCTTTCTTGCCAGACGAACGGCGAACACAGCAGTCCGAGGAGAAAATAGACTTCTATATGAGCCACCGGCAGAGCGATGTGCTCAGTGTTTATCTCCACCAGGGCGGGCTGTTGCGGATCATATCCTGCAGCAGCTGAATGCCCTTGCACTGGACCGATCCTCCCTGTCGTCGTCTGCCCACAGAGAAGGAATACATACTGAGGAAGCCCAAGAAAGATGCTCCATGCCGTTTTGTGATGATCCGCCGGCGATTTAACTAGCATGTGGTTCACATGCCGTGTGCCGTGAGGATTATGAAGGTATAGTCCATGCGATTTTTTGCTTCCATACGTACGATGACAGTAGTCATGTACGGCACCCCAACATGTCATGTCCAAGTTGTAGACAGGGGCTGGAACGGCAATGCCGCTATAAATGCGGTGGACGTGCCTCTGTGTTGCTAGCATTTACGAGCCTCGTAGCCGGTGACATCTGTCTGCGCCGTGCCATTCGATGCAGCAACTCTGACTGCGAAAATTGGATGCGGTGCTTCCATAGCCCACACCCGAACCAGTCCTGTCCGGTCTGTAGGGGTGGCCACTCACAGCGGTGAATATGTAGAAATCTGTGAGACCCATCATACAGCTTTCCCCTGCTCTTGCATGTCACTCTATCCTGCCCTCCACATATTTCTTTCCTTCCCGTTGCCCCTACCTCCCCTGCCCCATACTCCTAGAGAACTCCGCCTTCTACCCCTTATCCTCCACCCTCCCCTCCACTCCCTTTGTACTACTAACAAATACATACGAATGAGCATCATTAAGAGTATAGACGATATGAAGATCAGACATGAAATGAACGGAAGTATGAAGATGAAGGACGGACACAAAGGCTGTATGAGCTGAAGATCTGAAGTGAAATGAACAGGAGTATGAAGCTCTGAAGAGATGCACAAGAGCATACCTTCCCTTTTACTCTGCCTCCTGAAATAACGTGCAAGTGGGCCGTGGAGGCACACGGGGATGTGGGCAGCTGCCGCTCAACCACAATCAACGTGGGCAGCCTTGCGCGTAAGAGGCATAGTAAAAGGGGAGCTGCAAGAACAATGAAAGGGGTACCCCAAGAACAACCAAAAATCTGTCTAATTATAAAATTGCTTTAATATGTTGGACATCTCAAATGCTCTCGTTGTCTGCAATAGGATAAAGACTGCTTTGATTCTGAATCTATTCACCTCGGTGGAATTGGGCCTGTTGTGGGGAAAATCTAAAACACACACACACACACACACACACACGCGCACACACACACACACACACACACACACA